ATCTTGAGATGTGGTACTAAGCTAGACCCTTTCTTCTGATCCAAATTTATATTGACCTATACAAAGCTTTCCTTGGCCCTTCCCCTTTTCTGCTGCTCCAGAAGGATTATATGGCATGCTATTAGACAGTATTTTAATTTGTTGTTTCCAAAATTTGTTTTCTTTTTCAGTTTTTTTTTTTTAATGTTGCACTGAAGAATAATTTCTGAATTTGAATTAATATTAATTTTTCAGAACACCTATTTCTACCAAAGTCGGACAGTTTTGAACAAGGCATGGGATCTTGCTGGAAAGAAAGATATTAATGCTCGTGAGGAACTTTTACCAACAGAGGTTTGTCTACATAGTTTTCGTTCAGATCAACATCTGATATTAATAATTGATTTCTTAGCTATGCTGGGTTGTGGTTGCAATCTTATTTTTTTACTTTTTTTAATTTTTAATTTTTATTTTTTGTGGGCTCTAGGATGAGAAATTCATTTCACTCTGGAGCAGTGACAAAGCCTTTAGGAATGACTATGAGAAAAGAATTTTACCATCATTGGATACTCGGCAATTGAGTAGGGATGGACGGATGAGAAACCGAGATGAAAAGCCACTGCTAGAAGAACCAAAACCCGCTGAAACTGAAACATTACCAAAAAGCAGTGTAAAACAGCCAAAGGAGGAGTCTAAACCATCTCCACAAGAAGCTCTGCCCACTCAGAAGGTTCAGAAAGAAACCAAAAACAAAGGAAGAGACTTGAAATCTGATCTGGGTAATAAGGATTTAGAAGATGCTGATGAATATGAATTTGAACAGCCGCGAAAGGAAACTCCTACCAAAGAGCCTGCAATTGATCCAGCAAAGTTGAAAGAGATGAAAAGACAAGAGGAAATCGAAAAAGCAAAGCAGGCCTTGGAAAGGAAGAGGAAGTTAGCTGAGAAAGCTGCAGCCAAAGCAGCTATCAGAGCACAAAAGGAAGCTGAGAAGAAGCTTAAGGTGATTGTTGATACAATTCTTTCTTTGCGAATACATAAGGGTTTTCTTGGCACCACGGTTAGTGTTGTCGCCATGTTACACTCACACGTAGGTCACAGGTTTGATTTATGTAATTAGTCTCTTGCAAATGCGAGGTAAGGCTGCCTACTATAGCCTTTCCTTGGACCCTGTGCATAGCGGGGCACCTTGTAACTCCAGGTTGTCCTTTTTTATGTTATGTGAATACTAAATTAGGTATTGAAGTATGAAATCGGCTCATGATTTATTTTAGGAACGAGAGAAGAAAGCAAAGAAGGCTGCTGCTGTTCCCAATCCTGAGGAACCAGCAAATGAAGTGGCGGGGGAAGCTACCGAACAGGAAAAGCTTAATGATACCATCGAAGCCTCGGCTCTGGTGGTGAAGGACAAGGTCATAAAGAAGAGCAGCACTAGGTCCAGGAATCGAACCAAAGGCCCTGACTCGATTCCGAAAGCTATTCTTAAGAAGAAAAGGTCTAACAATTACTGGGTTTGGGTTGCATCCTGTGCTCTGTTAGTTCTGATCTTGTTGGTGCTTGGATACATCTATCTTCTCTGAAAAGCTTAGATCTAGAAGTAGCTGGAAACCAATTTTATGTGGGAGTGGCTAGGTTTGCCAGAGTAAGTTTTTATTTTTTATGTTCTATACATCTTCTTGGGAGAATGGATCAAACATACCATGCATGCTTAGCTCTTTTTGTGGTGAGAAGTTGCACATTTAGTCTTACTGTATTTGCAAATTTTGTTAAGATTTCATGTTGCCGGAAGCTTGGATTTGGTGTTTCTTTTTTATTATTTATTTATAGTTAATTGGTCAGGGAATGACACTGATATACTAAACTTTGTTGTTGACATTTCTCTATGGTGGTTATAGTCTTGATAATATAGAACAAAATCTTTTTTAAATTATGAACATGGCTTGAAAATTAAAACCCTGGGCTATCTAAGTTGGTGCAAGTCATCGGTTCTAGAACTTGAAAATTGAAACCTCAAACGAAAGCTTTACTTCAACTTTTCGTTAGACTGTAGATCCTTCCGATTGTATCATTTGGGTCTTGTGAGTTTAGAGCATAATTGGCTCAGCTTTTTCATGTCTTGATACTTAACTTAATTCTCATCACTATTTTAATTAGACTTGACCATTTTCATCTTTTGTTTAATTTCTTTTCTATTTCATTTAAGTAGATTTCTAAAGCATCTATTGCTTAATATGACTTATTGTCAATAAAGATAACAAAGTATCTTTCCTTTTTGAAAAAGTTTATATAAAATGTCCACAAATGTTTTTTTTATCAAGATAAAAGTAATTTTTTAACTCAACTTTTTTTTTTCTGTTTTTATTGTAGACTAAAGTTTTTTGTAGCTGGCCTTCCATATTTTAAAAACCTACTTAAAGTTGTTCTTCAAGTTTAAGGTCAAGTTTTTAAGTCTTTGAAAATGTTTTGGAAAGATACCCATTGCTAAGTTTCCATAATAATTATCTATTGATATATAATTAACAAAGTAAAGAAGAGTGATAAGAAAAGTTTCAGCACATTGGCTATGGTTTTACAAATTGCAAAATCTTGAGGAGCAGAATTCAACGTCTCTTTCTTGTGCAATTTGCCAACTTCATTATATGGTTCTTAATATATATAGGAAAACCAATCTACTATTTATGAGAGACAATGATATCTCATCCGTAATTATTACTCCTTTGAAAATATCCTTCTAGGTGTTATTGATGAAATTTTTTAATATGTTACAGGACGACCGTAGTTCTTTCACTCAAAAATTAATACCTGTATTAATTCTTTTTTTCTCTTATCTCTCCTTTCTCCTCAACTTTTTCTCTCTTTCTCTCATCTTAGTCCCATCAAATTGTTTTTGGTACGGAACCACTGTAACTTCGCTCATGAACCACAAGTTTGAGTGACACAATATCACCTTTGTTTTCAAGCCATAAATTATCACAATGATCAAGAAAGATAGATTGGGCTGAGCGAATATCTTCACATATTCTCAATAATTAAAATTTGGTTATTTAATTTATATTTGTTGTTGTTGAGTAAACAACTTTCTAGCTATGGCAATATACACTTCATTTTTCATTAAGTTTTCTTTATGAAACTTTGTAATATGTGAACCATTTAGATAAGTGGATTGTTCACATTTAGTTTTGAGCAGACAAGGAAATCATCAAGAAGAAGATGGATAATATAACTTATATAATTGTTGAAGGTTCGAAAGATTGCACCATAGTGATACTATGGTGCGTATACATGGGTGGAAAACAAAAAAAATTCGCAGCGGAAGCATAGACCATCTATACACCCCATGTATGAATGCTTTACGTTGAAATGATAGGGTTTCAGAATTACCTTTTCACTTGTAGGCGCAAAAAGATGACGCCCTCCAATGATGATCCACACGGTTATCTCCTTCTTGCTAGCGAGAACTCTTTCTCCTTGATCCCTCCTTATCCTCGATGGCTGGCTAGGCGCATGCAAGGAAGAGTCTACCAAGTGTTTGGATTATTTTTCTCAAGACTATAATGGTGTCTTGAGGTTAGATGATGGTGCAACAAGAGAGAGAAGGAAAGGTTGGAGCTTTTTCTTTTTTTCGAATTCTACACCCCCATAGGAGAGATGATGCATCAGGTTTTTATAAAAAAAAACTGATCAACCACATAAGCCCCTCCTATGATTAGGCGCACAAGTTAAAGTGATGAGAGAGACTTTCCTTGATTCTCTCCATCTCATTATGCGCCCCACATCAGCTCCCTTTAATTAGGAGCACACATTAAAAGGATGAGAGAGACTTTCCTTGATTCTCTCCCTTGATTAGGCGCCCCTCATCAGCCACCTTTAATTAGGCGCACATATTGAATGATGAGAGGGATGTTCCTTGATTCACTCCTTTTAATTATGCACCCCTTTAATACCTTTTCTTTCCTCAGAAATTTTGTTGCAACGGTATTCATTTAAATTCCGAATTCCAATGAAAGAGTAGTTGAGAGAATCTTCATCCAATCTCTATTGGATTATTCCTTTAAATAATTTTAAATTATTCTCAACAACCTAACCTCATAGAATTTAAATTTTAAATTCAAATTTCAAATTCCAATTTAAAATTTAAACTCAAATATAAATTCAATCTTATCCAAGTTCGTAATTCGAAATTCAAATTTCAAATTTCAAATTTCAAATTCAAATTCAAATTTCAAATTTCAAATTTCAAAAATTCAAATTTCAAAATTCAAATTTCAAATTTGGCCAAACCTTATTTTGGTCAAGTCAACTCTTTGACTTACTAGGATTCATGCCCCAAGGCCTCTTTGGCCTATCATCATATTTGGGCCCATTAGTGGAGAAAACTCTTTCACCACTAATGCCCCAAAAGGGCGCATGGATCAAGTGGACTTGGAGTCCCTACTCCAACCCAACTTGACTCATAGTCTTGACAAAGCCCAATAACTCATTATTGGTCTAAACTTGCTATAACTTGCAATAAGGAATAACCTTTGTGTGTGACCCATTAGGCCCAATTAGTTACTGACATAAATAAACTTGAACCAATTAAACTCCTTAAAAAGGCCCAATTCATTTAATGACAACATGATACACTAGCAATGCTCTGTAGCCCCAGAACTAATTGAGTTGATCAAGTGATCTACCTTTCTGATTTGGATATCGTGCCAGCATTATCCCTCACATCGTCATTCACATTTAGTCGAGAGCAAGGATAGAGTATCATCTCTCTTTATTGACTAAATATAATATTTCACAGGAACTGGGAATCTTCTTCTATTGACTCTAAGACAGATCATGACTCTTCATGATCTCTTACTATACATAGATTCCCGAGTCAACTAGAAGTCATCTCAGCCCTACCGGTCTTTGTGAACGACTAATCCCTTATAGGGGATTGTGAGTCCTTTCGGCATGTCCATCTATACTCATGTATTCGAGTTATACCCAAGAGTACACTGTTCTCCCCATTTTCAGGCGGATAGAGTTGTACAGTCAAAGTAAACGTTCAGGCGGACATAGTATTCGATGACCTAGGACGATCCACACTACCAAACGTTCAGAGACTTTTCAAATCCAATGATACTCTCTATAATGAATCCTTGTGGAGTTGACCTGAATCTGCTCTTTACAATTCGGTGACCTGAATCTGCTCTTTACTTTTCTGGTTTATCTCTTTATAAAGCTTATCAACTTTAGATTTAATGTTGGGATCATCATAGGGCCGGAACATGGCAAAATAAAAAGAATGTATCTGCTTAGGCGCCGGCCACTCTTCAACAACATTTGTGGGGACATTGGAATCTGAAACACCATTTCCTTCTGCTTTAGAAGATTCATCTCCATGTGACCCAAATTTTATGGCCTCTCCAGCTCCCTGAGATTGTTCCAATTTCCCAATTTCAAGCGAAACATATTTGTCTCCTTCAGCACCATTCTCCACTGGCCCTTGAACCATCTCAAATCCATCAATTTCAACCGCCATGGCTCCCCCACTACAGGACAGCCTCACAAAAACCCAAGAAACCTAATTCAAAAACAAAAATACTTCATATGAATATAGGGAACATTCCAACAGCATGTATAACTCAGTAGTTTGATCCACAGCCCTAACAATCAGCCACACAAATGCCAAACCATGAATCAAACAGAAAAAAATTTAGGATTGTTAACCGTGATTATCAATTTAAAAAAAAAAAAAAAAGAAAATGCAATACATACACGAATTCTTTCAATTTAATCACCATCAGACAATTTCAACCATCCATGTCAAATGTACAACGGGATCAATAGACTATATCATCTTCATCTCAAACATGCAAAATAAATGACACCCAAAAAAATAATAAAATAATAAAAAAAGGATTTTTACACAAAGATCAGGGCTTGTTCTATGAACAAACCAAGCATGCAAACCCAAATCCGAAAGAAATGAGACAGTTACAAGAAAGAAAGAAAATCTCAAAAGGGTATGATCTGAATACCTTGAATGGCTATACCCACGATTGATAAGGCCAAAAAGACATAAAATTTGAATTCAGAAGCTTCAGAAAATCAGAAATGCACAAGCAATAAAAGGGGGAGAGAAAATGATACCAGTGTGGTGGAGTGAAATAAGCACAAAAGGATTATTACCCAAAGAAAATTTGACAAAGGGCCACCAAAATCCAATTCCAAAATTAGGTTTCGCTCTCTCTCTCAATGTGAAGGCTATATAAACCAGTGCTAGAGAGAGAAACACGTAGGTGGCTATATTTATCGTGCCGCAATTTATGTAAACAAAGAAACATGATATTTTATGAATTTGTTTTTTAGGTTCAGCAGTTGATTTCGCTATCTTGATTTCTACGTGCACTGAAAACGTTGGACTACCGTTTTTCTCTTTGACACTTATTTTAAGGATTTCTAATTTTTAAATTTTTTTAAAGAAAAGCCAGCATGGAATTGTCTACTTTATTTATGTGGGGGAATATTATACTTATTATTATTTTAATTTTATTATTTGATTAATTATTATTAGATTAATTTAAAATTAATAATAATTAATTTTTTTAATTATTGATTTTAAATTCATCAAACAGTAATCAATCAGATAATAAGAATAATAAACCTAAAATAATAGTAAGTATAATTGCCCCCTATTTAATTTTATAATTTTTATGTTAAGGTTACTCTTTAGTATGTTAATCTTTAGCTAAGGGGATACTACTAACTTCCAAATTAAGTTAATTTAGAGACTAGGTGGAGTATTTAAATAGGGTTAAATATTTACGGGAAAGTGGAGAATATGTAATTATAATAGAATGTGGGTTTAATTTGTTACCAAGAATTATAAGATTGTATATATTGAAGAAATTTGTAACATCACGAGCGCTGACGAGGGCGAGGAGTGATCGCCGATGCAAAGAAGCACGAACAAGGAGTGGTTCCTGACAGGCTTCCAGCGGGGGATTACATGCATGAATGAATCGAATCGACATCCGAAAGAGAGGGATTTCAAAAACTGTGCAGGTATGAGACTGCACAGTTTGTGATAGCTTATAAGAATTAATTGGTACTACCTATACTAACAAGATGCATCTAATTTTCGGTAGCTCGGAACGGAAGAACTCCACAGTTAAGCGTGCTTGACTTGGAGCAATTCTGGGATGGGTGACCTCCTGGGAAGTTTTTCCAAGAAGTGCGCGAGTGAGGAAAAAGCACACTGAATCAGTCTCGTGTTAGTATGTGGGGATAGTCATTGATTCTTGAAGCGGTCGTGAGGATAACCATAAATAGTTATTCATGGCAGGATTGTACGGTGGGACCAAATGTATTGAACCAGGTGATAGACCAATGTAGTGTCACGAACAATTATCAAAAGCATGAAGAGAGAAAGGAAAAGGAAAAGAAGAGAAAATAAATAATAATAATTACGCAATACCATATTCATGTATATATTCAATGTTTTTTTTCTCACATATAGCATAAATAGTAATTAATCTAAAACTCCTAAAGTATGTATAGAGTGCATTAAAGATATTTAGTGAGGAAATGGATCTTCTTATATCACATGAATTTAAAGATATTCAATTGTTACAATAGGATCGATGTTTCTCATTTGTTATTTCTTTATATTTTTTGCACTAAACCTTTGTACCTATTTTGTCTTATTTAAGAGGTTACATCTCAATGATACAATCATCAAGTTGTGATACCAAATTTATCTTAGTATCAGAGAGATCTTGTGTAAAAAACTTCCAAAGTTTGTGAGCTCTGAGAAGAGTGCTAGCCTAGCAAAGGATGGCCAATGAAGGAAGCAACAAATTGAAGATAGCCCAGAGATCCTGTTGATGACTATGATGTTGCAAGGAAAAGCCAACTATGAAAACTACGCAAAGCTCATGAAAAACGCACTAAGGCAAAAAATAAATTAGGGTTTGTGACTGGATTCGCAAAGAAATTGGAGAAGGAAAATGCAGAGTAACAGTATGCCTGGGAGATGTGCAACTCGATGATCAATAGGTGGATACACAACACCATTGATCCGAAGTTACAACATTTCATCAAATGTTTCCATAAGGTGAAGGATTTTTGGGATGATTTGAAACAGAGGTAGGTAGTGAAGAAATTTCCACCCCAACATCAACTCAAGTCGAGCTTAGCCAACATAAGGTAACAAAAAAGCAGCATTGGATAATATTACACATGTCAACTCAAAAGAATAAGCTGTCTAATCTAATGAGGCATTCCATTTCATTAATCAGTCATCCACATCCACATCCACATCGATATAAGTATGCCTCCTCGGCTTCAGCAGTGCGCGCAGTGGAGCAAGTGCTTCTCTGGAAGAGAAGGCTCGGTCATGCAGCTTGTGAAATAGTTTCCTTGATTCCAACATTTGAGCATTTGTTTAATAAGATTGTTTTTAATAAGGCATGTGACGTTTGTTATCGTGTGTAGGACAATGTCTCCAATAAGTTCTTCTTGCAGAAAAGAAAGTTTTCATTTGATTCACTGTGATACTTGGGGTGCACATTATTTCTTGACTGTCATAGATTACTGTAGCTGAGTTGTAGTCGTAGGATTTGGATCCTCTTATCTGTAAAAATGGTCATGTGGCCATATTATTTGATCATAATCACTCATCGATAATAAGAGAGATAAAAGTGTATGATTCTTAGATGAGTAGTTGTAATCAAATAACATGACCACTTTTCACATAAGAGGATCCAAATCTGTAGTTGTAAGTAGTAGCCGACAAAGGTTAGACTTTTGATTGGTTAGGAAACTTTTTGGCCAATTTGGGAAAATTGTGAATTGACACTTGTAAAAACCAATGTATAGTTTGTGTCAGTCGCCGCATAATTGGTTTGCAAAGCTAAAATGCTTTAACATCATATGACTTTCAATATTCACAAGAGGATTATGCAATTTTTACTTTCCAAAGATGTGAGGTTTTCTTAGCTTTTTTTGTTTTTGGTTTCTTTCTGAACCTTCCGAGCGGGCAGAGATTCTTGTGGAGATGGTTTAGGCTCCTCTTTTGGCTGTTTTGCAATGTTTTTTGGTAATGTATCAGTTTCAGCAGGTTTTGGTTCCTCTAGCAGTGACTTTTCATCTAGGTTTCTCATCCGTCCATCCCTGCTCAATTGTCGAGTATCTGATAAAATTCTTTTCTCATAGTCATTCCTAGAGGCTGTCACTGCTCCAGAGTGACATAAATTTCTCAACCTATATAGCCCACAAAAAAAGAAAAAAGAAAAAAGATTCCATTATTAGTATCAGATGTTGATCTGAACGAAAACTATGTAGACAAACCTCTGTTTGTGAAAGTTCCTCAAGAGCATTAATATCTTTCTTTGCAGCAAGCTTCCGTGCCTTGTTCAAAACTCTACAACTTTGGTAGAAATCGGTGTTCTGAACAAATTAATATCAATTAATATTCAAAAATTATTCTGCAGTGCATAAAAAAACTGAAAAAGATTACAAATTTTAGAAATAACAAATGAGTATAATACTGTCTAATAGCGTGCCATACAAGAAAATAAAACTAAAATGTATGTGTGTGGCAAGAAAGCAAAACATACCCCTTCATCACGCTCTCTTCTTAGCTGCAGAATGCCCTCAAAAGCTTCATCCCTCTTCTGAGTAGCTGCTACCAGTTCTTCCTTTAAAGACTTGATATCCTTGTCTATGGCTTTCCGTGCATCATGAAGTTGCTTGATTTTGGACCGAATTGTTTCTCTCTCTTTTTCCATTTCATCCAAATTTCCACCTATCATCTGTAATGGAATATAATTGTTAAAGAACTTAAAAAAAAAAAATACACAATTACATATTCAGAACACTTATCACAGGAAGTTCCATGGTGATGGTGTAAAAACAAAATCTCACCTTAACCGCATCTTGAATGTCTTCTTTCTGCCCAATAGAATCCTGTACTTTGGCCCTCATAGCAGCATTAGCAATAACCTCCTCCCTTGTATCCTCAAGCTGTTTGATTTGTGGAAGTTAATGTCGGAGCAGTAACCAATTGGCTAAACAAGAGTAAAAACAAATACAAGGATTGCGAGAAAATACTATTCTCTTTCTCTTAATTTTCTTTAACCAAAAACAACCGAATAACAATAGGGTTCTCCACGCCTTAAATACGCAAAATAAAATAACAAAAAAGGAAATAACTATAATTATGCGCAATCAAAGGAGATAACGCACAATCAACGCACACTCAAACATAATCTAAAATAACAAAAGGAAATAACTAGTAATTATTAAAATTCCTTAAATAAAGAAATAAATTATGGAAATACCCAATCCAAGCGAGTCAGCTCGGGTGCATCATTCTCTCCCACTTGAAAAAGATTCGCCCTCGAATCTGCTTCATCTTCATTGATATGAACTTCTTCAGGTGGTAACCCAGGTGGCAATTCTTCTGGTACAATATCACCAAATTCCCTAATTAAGATTAGAACTTGTGAATGCAATTCTTTCTTGATACGCTCGTCTGCATTCGTATTGAACTGCTTGGGAACTAGAAATATTGCGAGTTCTTCGAACAGGACAAAACCCATAAACTATTCCAAAAGGACTATTGCCCATAGTTTGGTTCAATGATCCGTCTTTGGAAATTTTGTCTGATGTAACAGTAATTCCCATTGTCCCTGACGATCTCCAATTAAACTTTTATCAAAAGTAAATCTTTATCTCCATGGAGCATGAGGTTGTTATGCTTGTTGTCCCCAAATTCATAATACTGGGGTAGAACTTCATCTTTGTCGTCAGAGATATTAGAATTTCTAATAACTGATTTTCCACCGAAATCAATATAAGAGATTTCTTCTACCTCTGGATTCTCATCGTCTTGCTCCCAATCATACTTATCGTAGATAGGGAACTCGTCATAAATTGGAGCATCCATAACAAGATTCTCACCATCTTGCTCTTCATCATATTCATCATAGATCGGGACCTTTTGGTCTTCTGTCAAGTCTATGATGTCAAAGACCTTCTCGACAGTGTGTGACCCGTCGATAAACTCATCTGTATGAGTGGTGCCCTCGAATTCTGGGATCTCAATCTTCACCCCAATATTAGCAAAAAAGGATTGATTTTGAGGTTGACTTCGTCCTCGTCCCTCCTCATTCCAATTCCAGAATGAGTTTTTGCTCCTTTCCTCCTCATGGGATGATCTTTCAGATTCCCTTCCTTCATCTGACTCGTCCAACTGTGTTTGGGCAAATAGTT